TGTTTTCGCTAAAAACTAAATCAGGAAAATAAAAACAGGCTTCACACTCATCTAACAAAACCAACTATTTACTACTTTTTTACGATTTGCTACTATTTGGATACCTTCTTAGATTTATGGCACTAAAAGCTACTTTTTTTCTTTTTTTTTAGAATTTACACTGCTATACATCAGCTAATAATGGAAATAAAAAATTATTCTCTAAATTTTTTTAAAGTTATTTGAAACGATTCAAATATTTTGATAAATTTTAAGAAACTTCTTCGTAAGAATTCAATTATTCTAGTAAATAATAAAAATCTTCGCAGAAATTCAATTATTTTCGATATCTACAATTATTTAATAAAATTTTCCAAAACAATTCAATTATTTAAAAGAATGTTAATAAAATTCTTTGTAAACTAACATTCAATTATTTTCATAAATAATAAAATTTTTACAAGAATTCAATTATTTAAAATACAATTTGCATTGAATTTTTTCGTCAAAAATAAATTATTTAAAAGAATTTTTATAAATTTCTTCTTATGGGAATGCAATTATTTTTTGGAAATTTTAATGCAACTCTTCGCAGAAATTCAACTATTTTAAAAAATTTTATTAAAATTCTATATATGTATATAAGAATTTAATTATTTTCAATAAAATTTTGATTAAATTCGTTGAAAAAAATTTGTAAGAATTCAATTATTCAAGTAAAAAATAAAATTCTTTGCTAGAATTTAATTATTTTCATAAATAATAAAATACTTTAGATAAATTCAATTATTTTGAATATAATGTTAAGAAAATTTTTCGTAAGAATTCAATTATTTTCCGAAATAATGAAAATCTTCGCAGAAATTCAATTATTTTTAATATCTACTATTATTTAATAAAATTTCGCAAAAGAATTCCATTATTTAAAAGAATTTTTATAAAATTCTTCTCGGGAATTCAATTATTATTTAAAAATTTTAATGCAACTCTTCACAGAAATTCAATTATATTTAAAAATTTTATTAAAATTCTATATAATACAAGAATTGAATTATTTTCAATAAAATTTTAATTAAATTCGTCGAAAAAAATTTGTAAGAATTCAATTATTCAAGTAAATAATTAAATTCTTTGCTAAAATTAAATTATTTTCATAAATAATAAAATACTTTCGATAAATTCAATTATTTTGAATATAATTTTAATAAACTTCTTCGCAGAAATTCAATTATTTTTGAAGATAATAAAATTTTTACAGGAATTCAATGACATCAACTATATTTGAAAAATTTTATTCTTTGCAAGACTTAAATTATTTTTATAAATAATGATACGTTTCACAGAATTTCAATTACTTTTATACAATTTTTAATAAATTCCTAGAAAAATGCAATTATTTTTATAAATGTTAATAAAATTCTTCGAAAGAATTCAATTATTTTAAGAAATTCTGACAAAACTTATCTATAAGAATTCAATTTTAAGAAATATTCAATTATTCATTAAATTATTTATTTTTATATTTAAATAATTGAATTTTCGTACAACGTTCTAAGAAGAATTATTGATTTAAAATTAAATTTCAATTAAAAATTTAGTTCATAATTAAATATTAGACGTATTATATTATGAATTTTTAGAAATAATTAAATTTCAATAGATTTTTAAATTGTAATCTTTAAAAATTTTAATTGTTGTAAAACTGTAACAATATTCAATTTTTTATTTTCTTTTAAATATTTAAAATTTCTTTTTTCTTAAAAAATTGTAAAAGTTTTGAATAATTTTAATCAAAAACAACAACAAAAAAATTATTAAATTTTGAAAGAAATACAGTTGTAATTTTTTGGAAATTGTCAAATTTCGAAAAGTTTTTACACAGTAATCATTTAAAATATTGTAAATGTAATGTCTGTGGATAAATAAATTAGTTTTTAAATATTTATTTAACAAAAATTATTTAAGTGTTGAACGTAATTTAATTTGAAAATTATGAAAAATATTATGATCCACAAGTTTGGAGCGTTCAAATGAACGAAATATTTTTTAATAAACATATCTCTGTAAATTACTCATTGCAATAAAAATTAAAAAATTAAATTTCACATTTAGAAAGTTTATAAATAATATTTTTTACAGTAACGCAAAATTATTTTAATAACAAAATTCATTTGATAAAGAAATAAATAAATTTCGTTCATTTGAACGTTCGGAACTTTAGAATCGCAAAATATTCGTCTTTTGAAAAATTAATTAATTAACTATAATTAATATGAATGTTCTTTCATTCTTTCATTCATTCACTTTTTCTATCCCTCACACTCTGAAGTTGTCTTTTGTTTATACTTTTATTTTTTTTATCTTTAGATAGATTGTTTATTATATTATTATGTTATAATTATTTTTGTATTTTATAATTAATTCAAAATTGTAACGACAAATAGAAATCATCAGAATTTTTTTCAATTCTTTTCATTAAAAGACTAAAATTTTGTTAAATATTATATTTTTTTTGTCAAATTGAAATTATGCAGATTTTTGTTCTTTACTTCTAAACAAAATTAGAAAATTATTAAACAACTGTGATTAAGAAATAGAAAATTTATTTATTTCGCATTATTTTTGTTTATGAATCACAATTTTTTGAACAAAATTATTATTTTGTTTTAGAAAAAAAAGAAAAATATTTGCACAATTCCTATTTTTAATCTTCATTTTGGAACAGGATTTTCCACAGGAATTAAGACATTCAAAAATTTTAAATTCAAACCTTTTTTAAATTAAACAACTTATAAAAGTATTGTTATAAAACATGAAGATATCAATTGCTCCGAGTCGAAGACTCAGAGTGATCGATTTCTTCATGTTTTCTAATAATTAAAGATGACCGAGAGATAAAATCATTATTTTATATTATAAGAATATTGTTACTGTAACTTCATAAAAATTATTTTCATCATTTTAATTCAATTATTATTTTCTAGAATTTTAAATTATTTTTTATGAAAATAATAATTGAATTCGTTAACAAAAAAATTTTATTATTTATGAAAATAATTTGAAATTAGGACAACACTTAATTAAATAGACGACTTTTTTTATACCTTAAAGTTTAATCCAAAGCCTATTGTCATTGTTTTTTGTAATTATTGTCATTATTTATGGATCAGTTTTACCGAAACGAACAATTGATTCGTGATTTCAAAAAAAAAAAAAAATAAATAAAAGAGTAGCGCCATAACAAAAAGAAAACGGAGCATAACATCGCGAAAAAGAGCAGACCGGAACCGAGTATCACCGATAAAAACCGAACCGGAAACGAACTTTCGTTTTTTCTGCTTCGATTTACACTCGGGAGTAAAATAGAAGGGTGTATTATATATGTATATGCGTCATTCAGTTATTATCAGTGGGTATATCCAATTTATCGGATTAGTGCATTAATGCCTTTATTGACACGTATGCGCTCGTGTATGGCATTCGCTTGAAAATTATATGCATTATCTAGTAACAATAAATAATCCAGACAGGCATTTTCTCCTATAAGTCAATTTTAATATGTAGGGTGTGAAATGAATCACTATATTTCATTATAATACAATCACTCATACGCGGAATTTTAAAAATCTCAATTCTCCCCCTTCCTCACTTTGTACGTTTATTTAATATGTACAATTTTTGTCAGGATTTCATTTTCCTAAACTCGAGGTTCATTATTTTTTCGTTTATCATTAGCTTTTGATGTTATTTATTTTTTAAGGTCTTTTTTGGAGTTTTTTTTTATTTTTTTCTGTATTTATTTTTCTTCTATATAAATTGTACCTCTATTAATTATTTCTCGTCTGTATTAATTATTTCTCGTCTATATTAATTATTTCTCTTCTATGTTAATTATTTAACTTCTATATTAATCATTTCTCTTGTATATTAATTATTTATCTTCTATATTAATTATTTCTCTTCTATATTAATTATTTCTCTTCTATATTAATTATTTATCTTTCATATTAATTATTTATCTTGTATATTAAATTATTAATTATTTCTCTTCTGTATTAATTCTTTCTCTACGATATTAAATATTTTTTTCTACTTTAATTATTTATCGCTTATATTAATTAGTTCTCTTCTATATTAATTATTTCTCCTCTGTAGTAATTCTTATTTTGTATTCTTCTTCTTATGTATTAATTATTATTGTAGACTTGGTCAGTTTTAGCTTTTCCAATTTTTCGAAATTTTATATTTCTTGGTAGTTTTTTGAACTGAGGTTTTATCGGTACTTATTTGTTTTGAAATTATTGCAAAAAACACAAAAAATAGAACAAAAAACTTGTGAAAATTTTTTGAATTTTTATATTAGCTTTTTAACAAATTGCCTCCAAATTGTAAAACATTTTTTAACATTTTAAAACCATTTTCTTTTTGTTTGTTAATTGATTAAAAATCGAAAGTTGTGCATTAAAAATGTTTGGCTTTAATTGTAAAATTAAACTCTAATTTTTAATTAGTTTTACCAAAGTTTTACAGAAAAGTTACTAAGAATTTTTAAAAAGTAGTTTTTAATTTTTTAATAAAGTTTATATGAAAATTATAATACTAAGAATTAGTAAACATTTTTGCTAATTAAACTTAGTGGACAACTCTTAACAATTAACAAAATTTTAAGTACCCTAATTTTTCTTGTGTAGAAAAAATGTTTGTTGTGCTCCAAATTCTAAAAACTTTTTCTTCTTTTAAAAATTTGACATTTTTCCGTTGGACTTTGGTCCAGAATAAAAATTGACGCTTTTGATAGTTTTTCAATAAAAATCTAAGAGAATTTTTATTCATCTAATTCTTGTACGTAGAAAAAAAATGTAAGTTCTCATTATCGACATTTTTATGCCCTTTGTTCGTCGAACTTTATCCGCTTAAATATATATTTTGTACGCAGAAAAAAATTGTCTTTGATGTGAAAAAAAAGTAATTTTCTCAGGCAATTTTCGTGCAGCAAATTCTAAAAAGAAAATAATTTCTACCTTCCTCTCGTAGTCTTTGTTAGGAACTGCGAGCCATGGTAGATCAGTGATATGATTTCTGAAGCTTTCGTCAAAATCGAGAACGTCAGCAACATTACTCCAAAGTACAACGTGCACGACTTCAAATCTTTTTCTTTTAATAATCTCCAAATTCTCATCGGTCACACTACTATTATTATTGACACTATTATAAAGTTCTGTCAATTGTCGTGTAAAATCATCGCACGTGGCGCCGGGATTAATAAAACTAAAATAAACACCAATCACATCGCATAGAGATTGACCATCCTCATTTGTTAATACACTATTAACTTCGTATTGTTTAATATCCTGATTATTAATTTGATTACATCTAATTAATTGCTTTCCAAAGAGACGTTGTTGCCAACTTGTCGATTTTGTATTAATCAGTAATTTTTTCGCGCACAGCGTCGTTGGCGATGATGTACACTCGGCCATACCAACCACGTTGAATGTACGCGCGAGACTGACTTAGAAATGCCGACGACTACGACGACGACGCTTTACGCTCTTTTGAGCGAAGGGCGTCAGTGGGGTGCACGGAGTTGTGTGTATATTGTACTATATATGGTGCTATAGCACGTGGTGTCAAAATCTTGTCAAGTGTGTGTACTCGAATCAATATTCATCAGAATCATGAAAATAGTGTTTGGGGGTTTGAAAAATGATTTATATTCCAAACTCTCTTTTCATTCAAATGTTTTTTATTTTATTTCTTCTCATTGCAATTTTTTTATTCTATTTTTTTTTTTTTTTTATTTCATTTATTCCATTCTATTTATTTCATTCATAGGGGAAGGATCTTTTGTTCCAATTATCTATTCAAACGCACGTATTTTTTTTATCCAATAACATGTATATCGAGTCTACCTCCATTTTTCTCAAAATCCTAATGTGTTTGGCAATTTTAAGACCCGGGATAGTGTTCAGCGACCAAAAATACGTTGAAAACCACACCCATATCAAAAATAGAAAACAAACAATATTTTTTGGATTTTTAACCCCCACTTTTTTCGAAAATCTGACGTGTTAGGTAATTTTAAACCCCGGGATAGTGTTCAGCGAACAAAAATACATTGAAAACCACACCCATATCAAAGAAAGCAAAAAGAAAATATTTTTTGGGTCTTTACCCCCACTTTTTTCGAAATCCTGACGTGTTAGGCAATTTTGGAACCCGGGATCGTGTTTGCCCAACAAAAATACATTGAAAACCATTCCCATATCGAAAATAGCAAAAAAAAAAAATTATTTGGGGTCTTACCCCCACTTTTCTCAAAATCCTAACGTGCTAGACAATTTTGAGAGCCAGAATCGTGTTCAGCGAACAAAAATACATTGAAAACCACACCCATATCAAAAATAACAAAAAGAAAATATTTTTTGGGTCTTTACCCCCACTTTTTTCGAAATCCTAACGTGTTAGGTAATTTTCGAACCTGGGATCGTGTTTAGCGAACAAAAATACATTGAAAACCACAACCATATCAACAATAGTAAAAAAAAAAATTTTCTTTGGGGTCTTATCCCCACTTTTCTCAAAATCCTAACGTGCTAGGCAATTTCGAGAGCCAGGATCGTGTTCAGCGAACAAAAATACATTGAAAACCACACCCATATCGAAAATAGCAAAAAGAAAATATTTTTTGGGTCTTTACCCCCACTTTTTTCGAAATCCTAACGTTTCAGACAATTTTAAGACCCGGAATCGTGTTCAGCGAACAAAAATACATTGAAAACCATACCCATATCAAAAATAGGAAAAACGAAAATTTTTGGGTTTTTACCCCCACTTTTTTCAAAATACTCTATTTTTTGGCCTTGCGCATATAAATCGCTCAGAGTGCCGGTTTCAAGCTTCATTTTAAAACATTTAAGAGTCATTTTTAACTAGCTGAAATCGAAAACAATTTTTATTAAATATTTAGTATGTGAAATAGTTCATAAAAATTTTTTTTGACTTCAGATAATTAAAAATGAGTCTTAAATCAAGCAAATAATAAAGATAGAAAACTAAAAAACTTAAAAAAAGAAATAATAAAATAATGAGTAAATAATATAAAAAAATAATAAATTAAAAGATAAAAAATACATAAAAATAATAAATATACAGAAATAATGATATTCTAATTATTATAATTCATTTTAAAAAGAGTATTGTTTAATTATTGATATAAATTTCTTATTTTTTGCAGATGCCTCCCATAGCGAACGATTTGAAAGACAAGAAGAGAAAATTATTTTGTGATCTACGAAGTAAGTGACAATTTCGGTAATATTTTCGATTAATTTAAACAAAAAATTTTTTCCTATTGGGTCAGAATTCGTGAAATTTTCCCAAAAAATAAAAAGTATTTTTTTAAATCGAAATGTTGAAAAAACATTTTTTTTTGTCTTTAGGAATGTGTCCACCAAAGAACAGAAAAATTTTTTTTTTTTACAAAAGTTATTGCAAATTGAATTTTTTTGCAACTTTTTAAACAAAATTTTATTTCTCCTAAATGAATGAACCGCGATTTAAATGAACCAAGCGGAAATATAAAGGGGATAAAATATATTCTTTCCTTTAGGATTAGAAAATTTTTAAAAAGTTTATATTTTAATAATTATTTAATAAATTTTTTATAAACAATTTATTATTTTTAATTTGTGCTGTTTTTTTTTACCGTATTAATTAATTTTGATTTTGATTCCTTATAGTTTTGATTCTATGTTGATATTTCTTTCTTAAATGGCGCAGAACATTAAAAAAATTAATTGTTTATAAAAAATTTATTAAATAATTATTAAAGAATAAACTTTTTTAAAATTTTTCTAATTTTAAGCGAAAGTATATATTTTATTCCCTTTATATTCCCGCTTGGTTCATTTAAATCGGTTCCTTCATTTAGCAGAAATAAAATTTTATTTAAAAAGTACCAAAAAATTCATTTTTAAATAACTTTAATGAAAAAAAAACATTTTTACGAATTCTGACCCTTTTTTTTTAATTAAAATTAGTTAAATTCAAATAATTGAAAAAATTTTATTCAAAAATTAGAGTTTCTTACGGGTCGCGATGTTAAAATGCAGAAAAAATGTAAGTCCCCGAAAAATTAAAATTTTTTTTAATTTTTATTTTTAAATCCTTCATCAGCGTCTAAGGTAATTAAAGAAGTTGTTTCGAATTATTTGAATCAAATAAATATTTATTTGACAAAGTAATCGTTTCCTTGAATCAAATATATTTTTTCTCAATATTACCTTAATACTAATTTTCAGTCAATTATAAAATTAATGGATTTTTCTTTCCCCTTCCAAAAAAAAACATTTCGGTTTCCGTTTATTTGAGGTTAAAAATAAGATTATTATTATTATTTTTTTGAAGGGGGAAAATTGCGATTAATGAACTGAAAATTAGTAAATAAAAAAAAATTTTTTTCGGATTCGGAATACGGGAAAAAAAGGTATATAAAAGTCAAACATGTGCGCACGATGCAGATGTCGAGGGGGCGGACATTCACATAAACAGTCATAAAACCAGAGGGTTCGTTAGGTACACTATTAAATACACATTCTAATCTCGATATATTTGGAACTTTGTCTATTATTAACATTCTCCGTTTGTTCAATAATAAATTCACTCAAGCATAAAATTTCTATTTTTACAAAACCGAAAAAAAAGAAAAGAATCAAAAGTTACTTTCTACGTTTTTTACATGTTGATATGTTTATAAATAATTTTAACAATTAATATAAGTAAAACCGTTAAATATAAGAATATAACAATAACGATGTTTTAAAAGAGAGAAAAAGGAAATTGCGATGTTATTTTCGTTAAAGAGAGAGATGGAAATTCAAAGTGTTACGGAAAGCAATTAAAGAAACAATAGTTAAACGCCAATTAGTCATGCACTGATATATATTTTGTGTGTATAGTCATAAACAAGTAGGTACGATATGTGGGTGTGTATTTCGTTACTCCTGAATATCTGTTTTTAGTCGATTGGCTCGATTGACCCTGTGTAATTATCCAGTAGACTTAATTACTGATAAATCAACCGTACGAAGGACACGACACGAAGATTGAATTTTCATCTCCTCCCCATGTAGTAACTATATTATAGTTTTAGACGATTGCTTTATGAGAAGTTGAAACATTAAGAATTCAATGTCCCTTCAAATTCTAAATCACACGGTTTTCGACTTTGAATTTAAATATATTTTTTATTTTTTCATCTCTTTTCAACTATTTAATTATTTTCTCATCTGTACTTAAGGATCCGAACATTTAATGCACGAAAAGAAAATATCAAAGCTAAATAACTTCGTGAAGACCAAACTAAATTTCAAAATGATGTATATTAGTGAATTGTTTGTTTAGTGATACAGAGTAGAAAAAAAATATGTAGTTTAATTTTTCGGAAAGGCCCACAAGTTTCATCTTTTTTTTTACAAAAAGTAGTCAAAAGTATGCCACAGAAAAAAAGAAGTGTTATTTTAACACTAAAATTAGTGTTAAAACTACACGCAACATTTTTAACAAACACTTTGTGATTTTAACACTTCATTGATGTTAAAATAACACTGGAGTGTGTTAAATTAACACTAGAGGGTGTTAAATTAATATTCATTTTAAATGGGGTTAAAATAACACCAAAATTGTAAAACAACATCATCTGAAAACTACATGCAACAAAATTTAACACACATTTTCTTCTGTGTGAAAAAGGCTATTTTTGGCAAAATTCGAAGCCAAAAAACTTAATGAAGACCATGCTAATTTTCAAAATAATGTATTAACGAATTCTTTGATTAGTGATAGAGAATAGGAAAAAATAATTTGGTTCGTCGGAAACATCCACAATTTAAACCTTTTTCCAAAAAACTGACGATTAGCGTAAAAATCGCTATATTTTGTCAAACTTCAAAGTCAAAAAACTTTATGAAGACCACGCTAGATTTTAGAATAATGTATTAATGAATTATTTCATTATTGACGAAGAATAAGTAAAAAATAATTTGGTTCGTCGGAGACAACCACAATTTTAATCTTTTTCCCAAAAACTGAAAAATAGGCAACTTTTTTCAAACTTCAAAGCCAAAAAACATCATGAAACCCACGCTAAATTTCAAAAAGATGTATTAGTGAATTATTTATTTAGTAATACAGAATCGGAAAAAAAAATTGTTTCATTTTTCGGAAAAGCCCACAATTTTTGTCTTTTTCCAAAAAAAAAAACTGTACCAACCTGTGAAATTAAGCTATTTTTTTCAACCTTCAAAGCCAAAAAAACTTCATAAAGAGCACGCTAAATTTCAAAATCAAAAAAGAAGTAAACTAGTGGATTTTTTATTTAGTGCACCGAAAAAGATATATTCTTGTTTTAAGAGGACAATTCCTCATCTAAAATCCTCTTAAATTTTATTCTTGAATTAAGAATATTACTCTTCATTGGAGAGCATTGAAATAAGAGGAATCCTCTTAAAACAAGTTTTTTTTCAGTGTGATAAAGAATAGGGAAAAATAATTTTAATTTTTGGAAACGGTATTCGAACAAGAAGTCCGAAACAAAATGTCTAAACCGAAAAATCCAAAGTAAATGAAATCCAAAAAAGTAAAAAAAAAAAAAATAGTTTCACTTCGGTCTTATTTTTTGGATTTTTTGTACTCCAAAGAAATTAAAAATCCAATGAAAAAAATTGAGATATAAAAATTTAAATGATTGCCTTGAATGAAATTGTCATTTTTTTTTTTTTTTTTGAGTTGCTTATTTCGATGACTATGAATCGAAAGTATAGATAAACTTAACATTTTAAATTTCTGAAAATATTTAAATTAATCGAGCAATATTGAATTAGAATTATATTGAAAAAAATAATTGGATTTTTGTAAAGAATTTTATCAAAATTGTTGAAAATAATTGTATATTTCTTGGAATAATTGTTTTAAAAATTTTAAAGAATAATTGAAATTTTTTTATTTACGAAAATAATTGAATTTTTGTGAAGATTTTTTTTTAATTATGAAAATAATTGAATTTTTGTGAAGAATATTATTTATGTTAATAAATAATTTAATTTTTGTGAAGAATTTTATTATTTGTGTAAATAATTAAAATACTGCAATTTTAACATTAACATTTTAAATTTCGATTTTATAGCGTAAAAAGTAACAACGTGGCTTTTTCACATGTTTAATAATTTTTTTTTTTTTGTCGATTTGATTTATTTTTGATTTTTTGACGTTGGATATTTTTATTTTGGATTTTTGGTACTTTGGACTTTTTTTCTTGGATTTTCCGTCCTGTAATCAACGCCCACAATTTTCATCTTTTTGCAAAAAAAAAAATAGGCAAAACTCACTACTTTCAGGGCTCGGATCTACTTTAAGACCCAAAAAAGTCGTTTTAGTCGCAAAAATTAACAACAAAAGTCGCGAAAAGTCTCATGAAATTTCTGAAAAAGTCGCAAAAAAAGTCGTGTGAAATTTAAAAAAAAAACCTCAAAAAAGAGTCATGAAATTGTAAAAATTGTAAAAAAAAATGGCAAAATGTTAATGGGGTTTATTAGAATTGAGTGTAGAATGTAACAAAATATTTTTATGAAAATTACTTTATTTAAAGTTTTTTTATTTGCAATGAGACACAAAAATAATTTTTAATCGTAATAATTAATTTTGTAACGCAAAAAAATACTTAAATGAAATGAATAATCGGTTTGATTATTATTTATTTAAAAATTTACTTTTTTTATTATTCTTTAATTATTATAAATTAAATTATTATTTAAAAAAGAAGTTATTGATGTTTTCGAATAATTTAAAAGAAATTCGTAAATAAATGTAACAGAACATTTTTTTGAGTAAATTTTTTTCTTTTAATTTCTAAAAATTTAAAAAGTTTCAATTTAATTTTCAATTAAACTTTGTAATTGACAAATAGAATTTTTAAACTTTTTTTTCATTTATTTTTAAGAAACTTTGAATTTTATTAAAGCAATTGTAATTAAGAAATAGAAATGGTGCAAATTATTTCCTTATGAAAATTCAAAATTGAGAATTTTCTAGAAAAATATTATAAAAAACGGGAATATATAATGTTTCTTTCCAAAATTTTAAATATTTTAAATATTATTTTATTATGAATCATGAAAAAATACTTGCATATTTTCGATTTATTAAACAATATTTTTTAAAGAAAAAAAAAGCATACACAAAAACTAACTTCTAAGTGTGGACAGACAGAATTAATAAAATAATGAAATATGAAGATTAT